GCGCATCTTACACATGCCCCACCAAAATATTACCCCTAATTGGAAATCATTGATGTATGACTATTTTAGAGGGTGTGATGGACAGACAGTCTAATGGAAATCACAGAATTTTATATATAGATAGGTAAATGAGATTACTTGAGAATATATTTATACACCATAAATTTTCTTGATGTTTGTTTCTGTAAGATTAATGTCAAATCATAATTCGATTTTAGAATCTCCAACACTTAGATGGGACTAATGTTCTGGCTGGATCAATCAGATTTCAGCTTTATTCAATAAATTTTGTCATCATGAGGAAAATAATAAATCCAACATTAAAAACATTATGAAAGCTATAAAAATGTTTTGCAACAAACAGTATAAAATCATTTTTCTTCTGTTAAAAGAAGAACTAGAATTACTGTCCATCCAAATTGCATCAGCACTCGGGATTTAAAAACAATTTGACAGTGTTTGACAGATTCTGAATTATCCTTAACATGATGTCACTAGAAATGACAAAGACCTTACAATATGAAATCTAAAGGAATCAGTATACATGCTATTGTCAAGAGTCCATTAGTAACAAAAGTATAGAAATTATTGGGTCTTTCATTTTATAACCATTGAGCAGTGGTTAATAAGGCAGTCTCAATAAACTATTACTATTGCACTCAATCCTCATTGGATGCTCCACATAGGTAATCTTGTGCCAGACTATATAATTACTTTAGATTTATTTATGTATTTGGTACAAAGAGACCTTAGCAAACTAGTTTGACAGGTCATTATTACTGCATTGAATTTAGATCTAACTGGGTGCTCCACACACGTGGCCTTGTGACAAACTAATATAAATTAGTAAATACCAATAAATGTGAATTGTTTTATTTTTTTTTTTTTTACTCCCTACAGATTTTTAATGAGTTTTACTAAATCAAATAGTAGCAAAAATTGGGTGAAAAAAATTCAGAAACACTTGAAAAGGGTAGGAGACCAAATCGGTCAAAACACAATAAAAATAATGAGGCTAAAAGACTCAGCTGGAATGTTTGAAGAGATACAAAGTCTGTGAGTTGCAATTTTACTGCCCTTCACTGCATATACATTTTATGAAATATTATTTGGTATTTGGTTAAGAATTTTAATATTTATTGATCAATTATTTTTGTCTATTTTTTAGCCTTCACAGTTTTAATATTTATTGATCTTCATGCCAATTATTCTTGTCTATTTTTTTTAGCCTTCACAGTTTTTTAGCCTTCACATTTTTTTCACAAGTAGATTTCTGCCAGACACACAGCCATAGATGAAACAATAAATATGTAAACTCATCAGGAAGAAAACACTTATTTTGACAAATTAATATTATTTATCTACAAAAAGTATTAAAATATCATTAGAAACAAAGATGGCTGAACTGTTATGTAATAATTGGTTTCCTATATGGCAATGAAAGCTCAACAATCTCCTCATTCCTTTGAGAAACTAAGCAAAGTATTAATGTAACTCCACATCGTTGACAAGTCTAACAGTACATCACACACATAGACACTCTCTATTTCTCGTCTTTTCTTCCCCTCTTCTTCAGTCACTAGTCTCTACCTCTGCTGAGTAATACCGACCTTATTGGTTACTTGGCTTTCTTTTCTCTTTTCAGTTGGGGCTGGTGTGTTGTCTCAATAGGGTTGATTCAGGTTTCCTAAAAATCTATGACATTAGGATTGACAGTGAAGTTTAGTTTGAATCTCTCAATGTACCTTGTGTATCACAGACAAGATTGTATAATTTCTGCCTGTAGTCATGCTGTTTCTTTGCATCCACAACAACTTCTGGAATAAGAACGGCTTCAATAAAATGTACAACACTGTTGACAACTCTAACAACAGGTTTATTGAATATAAAGAAAAACTGATTGAATAAAATGTTTCTATTATTTACTGCAAAATCAAGTTCTCTACTGCAGGGTGATGATTTGGGAAATCTTGTTGCAAAAGCTAAATTAATAACCAGTCAGTCACCTCTCTCTCAATTCTTTGAAGTAATAACTCGTCAATTGACTCTTCTCAATTCCTTAAAGTAATAACTAGTCTGTTGATTCTCACTCAATACTTTTGTTATGTGTGTATCTATGTTTTCGCACCAGCCTAGACTGTTATACTCATGTTCGTTTCCATATTCACAATGTTTCGGCCATTGTACACTCTTGCCTTCTTCAGGTGATTGGAATTTCAAACTGAACCCATTATTTCGTCCACTGCGGGTAGATTGTTCTAGTTCCAAGTGCCATACCTCTTCTAGATGTCTCACTTATTTCGCTTTAACTCAACTCTCCAAGTTTTTTTTGGTTCACCACTGCTGTAGCTTGGTATTGAACTCACAACAATTTGGGTCTAGTCACTGGAGCTAACCAACGCTTTTATCTACTGGGCCAATCACCTGAAGAAGGCCGGAGCATACAACGGATGAAAATTTGTGAATATGGTAATGAAGATGAGGATAACAGTCCGAATAATGTAAACAATGATGATACCTCATCTCCGAGATACAGACAGATATTGGGGAATTTTCTTACAGCTTCTTGCTTCCCAGTCAACTTTGATCACTAAAAATTTAAATGCAATGTCTATTGTTATGGGGTCCACCCCTTTTTCATATAAGTGGACTCGACCAAAGTGTTACTTGGACTGCGGCTGTTAAATACCCAGAGCTAGACAGTCAATGAGAGTGAGTAGAGATAGTAAGAAGACTGAGATTGAGTTGGAGGTAGAGTAATAGTGTGAGGTAACCGCTTGTAGAAGTCCGTTACAAACACTTAGACTCTAAGGAAGTCCTACTTTGAGACTGTATATATCTATATGTTATTGCTACTAACCGCGTTCCTGGATTTACTAACAGTATTACCCTTTGTATTATTGTGTAATACATTTAATTTCTTATCTTTAATTCTTGCGTTTGTCATTCATTGGAGACCGAAATTCATCTCGGAATCCACAACAGTTATCTTCTGTCTTCTTAATTCTTCTTCTTTTATTGTCCTCTCTCCTTAATAGTGTTTTCTTTTTTTTCTCACTCCCTAACACTCAGTAATTACATTGCATCTTTTAGGATTCTGTATATATTATATATATATATATATATATTATATATATATATATATATATATATATATATATATATATATATATATATATATATATATATATATATATATATATATATATATATATATATATATATATATATATATATATATATAAATATATCAATATACTAATATTCCATGGTTATAATTTATATTATATTGGAATATATAATCTTACTCTGTCCTGGACATTGATATTCCATGGATTCTATCCTCTTGGGAATTTATGCATATGTGTGTGTATATATATATATATATATATATATATATATATATATATATTGATCACCAATATTATCAATATATATATTATTATTAGTTTATTTGGATTATTAATAGTCTACCATACACACACACACACACACACACATATATATATATATATATATATATATATATATATGGTGGACTATTAATAATCCAAATAAACCAATAATTTTGATAAAATCCAAAGAAAAATCTGCAATGTTATTGGTCCTAACCTGGCATCTTGGCTTCAGTCCATTTCCCACTGCTGTAACATAGCTTCCCTGTGTTTTTAATATAAATACTTTCCTTGTAATTCTTCTGATGAACTTTCCTCTGTTACCTAGATGATGAATTTAAGTACATTATGAGATTGGTGACAGAATCACATCAATTTATACTTGAAATAGTTAAATGTAACCCTAAAAGTTCTATGTTAACAGTTTCTTTTCACATACTTCTTGCTTCTGGCTTCATGATTTCCAATCAAGTTTAATCTTAAAAGATTTAAATGCAATGTCAATTGCTATCTTCCATCCTCTTAAATTCTGTTCTTTTATTGTTCTTACTCCTTAATGTTTTTCTCGTAGTGAATGAATTCTCAGACTCAGTGTATAAGAGAAGAGGCACTACCATAAACTTGATGGTTTTCTCAGCCACCAATCCTGCTCCTGTCCTCAGAGAATAAAAACCTATATTAAGTAAGTCTTACCAATCAATGGCAAGCTTGTGACAGATATATAGCCTCCTCCTTGAACATTCGTTCATGAGGGAAAGCCATGATATACATGGTGAGCTGAATCCCAAACAAAACATTGAGACTCCTGTCAGTAAATCAAATCACCAAAAGTGAGTGACCTTTTGGCTAAACTAAATCTATTTACGTTGGGTCAGGTCAAATCAAATAAGCTTCCCTGGCTATCCATTATCTGACATGGTCATACCTGCTGGTCACTCAATTTCATCTCTTATTGAGTTGGTCATCTAATATTCAGCCTCTACTGCCACTCTTAACTGGCTGATTTTCTTGTCAGTAAATTTTTATCCTCCTCTATATATTCTCTCTTTGTCCTTTCCATTGTATCTTCCACCTTATCATACTTCAGTATTCTTCATGAAATTCTTCATAATGGCTGTTCTGAAAGATACTAATTCCATCACAGTAATGGAGAAAATGGTATTTGATTCTGGACAGCATTTTTCTTTTTTTAAGTCTATTTCATAATCTTAATCCATTTTAGTTTTTTTTTTGTATATAAAATTCACAATTAACTGCATTTGGTATGACTATTTGTCCATGTTTGGATCATGTTAGTTCCAATCCAGAAGAAGAATGACTGAAAAAACATCCCCCTCTCCCCAAATCTACAGACAAAACATACAGGTGCATCTAGTGATTTCTTCCTGACCAATAAGATAGTCCACTTCTAGGTCTCATCTGAGTTAGGTCTGTTCTTTCTTGTCTTGAAATCAGAACACGATCTCACTCAATCTCTCGTCTTGAAGACGGAACTCGATCTCTCTCTCTCTCGTCTTGAAGTCAGAACTCGATGTCTCTCTCTCTCTCGTCTTGAAGTCAGAACTCGATGTCTCTCTCTCTCTCTCGTCTTGAAGTCAGAACTCGATGTCTCTCTCTCTCTCTCGTCTTGAAGTCAGAACTCGATGTCTCTCTCTCTCTCTCGTCTTGAAGTCAGAACTCGATGTCTCTCTCTCTCTCTCTCGTCTTGAAGTCAGAACTCGATGTCTCTCTCTCTCTCTCGTCTTGAAGTCAGAACTCGATCACTTGTCTGTATTCCTTTTGTGTGTCAATATCATTCTTTGTGAACTTTTTGCCTTATGTATATTGTTCGTTCAGTATTATATTTTGCTGTTCGTCTCTCTTGTTATTGTTTATTGCAAAATTGGTCAACAATTTTGTTTGTTGGGCATTTCTGCCAATTACATTTAACTATTGTCAATTACTCTACAGATCAGTTAAACCAATTTAGTATATTAATATGTAATATATTAATATTTTTTTAGAAGGGTGCAGTTTATAACTTTATAACTACAGAAAATCGACCCCCACCCCAAACTTAGAATCTTACAATAGTAGTAGTTTACCCATGTGGTAAAAAAACATCCTGACATATTTTGTTACGTCTTTACAATTAATAGGTTTTTATATGCATGCTGATAAATTACTTTTTTCCAATTATTAGTCATTCTGTGGAATATAGTTTCCAACTTAGTATTTTATGTCAAGGAGAATCTTATATAATTATTATTTTACTTGTATGATAAACTGTCCTGGGTAAGATGATAAACTAAATCTGACAGCAAGGCCTTTGATCAGGAGGTTTTGAGTAGTGTGGAATCATCTCTTAATTGCTGGTGTTCCCAGGTTCGTCCTGACCCAGGGTGGTTGCACCTGTTAGGGTCCCAGCTATGGGCAAATATCTGACCCCAAAACTGAAAATACCAGTAATACATTTTTGTAAAAGCTTATTCCAACAATGAATTTTTGAAGAAAAAAAATATTACCGGCAATAAAAATCTTGTTGGCATTAAATAACCCATTGAAGTTGATATGCTGTAAAACAAACCAAACCAAATCATACAATAAGAAAATAATGATGGCATATTTTGTTAAGCCTTTACAGTTTTCTGGTTTTGACATGTGAGTCTTTAAATATATTTTCAATAATAACACCATTCTATTCTAGTAATTGCTTTTCTCGTACTTCTCACCTGTGGAACTCATTTCCGATTTCTTGCTTCTCTGCAACCTACAATCTTCTGTCTTCCTGAAACCTGTTCCTTTACACTTTACATTATTCGGACTATTGTCCTCATCTTTGTTGCCATATTTATTACAATATTTCGGCCATTGTACATTCCGGCCTTCTTCAGGTGGTTGGAATGTCGAACTGAACCCTTTATTTTGCTCACTGGGGTAGACCGTTCTAGTTCCACATGCCATGTTTAATGGATGTCAGTTATCAGTTATCGCCTGTTAATTTCCCTCTGAAAGTTCTCCACTGCCTTAAGCGGGTATTGAACTCACACTCTTTGGGTCCTGTCACTGGATCTAACCAACGCCTTTATCCACTGCACCATGTGTCCTTGAGGCCGAAACGTGATGGACACAGATAGCCTAAACACGCATACACACATATATTAAGGTTAATTTCCGCCTAGCAACAGAATGGGGGTCACGTGGAAGTCTTGTGACATTTTGGGAAAGCAAGTCAAGAGGTTGACTGACCCAATTACCCATAGCAACAAATGTCTAGACAGAAGCTAGACAGGGGACTGATGTAAGCTGGAATTCGCGCCAAAACTCAAGACACGTGAGAGTTAAAAATTTATTTGTGAGTCAGTTGCTGTCTTGTCTTTGAAGGAGCAAGACTTGAAATCGAAGCGCTGATAATTTATGAATGGAAAGATAAGACTCATTTGATAATGATGGAACTTGTCCGATTCATCCCAGGCAACTCCGGACAAGAAATAGAAGTATTTCTGTTCGATAACCCCAAATTGAAGCCGCAGAGAAATTTGTACGCTGAGAATACAGCCTGCGTATGAAGAAAAGAGAAAAAACCAGAGAGGAAGAAAGTATATACCTCTGTTACAAGCTGAACTGTGTAAAGAAGAAGAAAGAAAGAAAGAAAAAGGAAAACCAAAGAGGAAGAAAGTGTATATCTCTGTTACAAGCTGAATTGTGTAAAGAAGAAGAAAGAAAGAAGAAAACCAAAGAGAGGAAGAAAGTGTATATCTCTGTTACAGCCGGACAGTGTGTGAAATCGTATTTGTGTCAAGAAAAGAAACGACAATGATAAAAAAAGAGAACTGAATATAAAGATAAGTAATCATATATTTTAGACCCGTATTAGAAAGATACACATACATCCATAAATATTATGTTCTTACAAACACCTTTCCACATGTCAAAATAATAATTGTAACTCCTATCCCATCTCTTTTGTGTATGCGTTGATTTCTGCATTCGTGGTAATTCATACTTATATTTTTGTCCGTTCAAGCAATATAGTTTCCGCTACGCCTGATCTACAGTTGATGCGCTTACGGCCATCATTGAAACTGTCTACCAAGCCCTTCAAAATAACGGTGAGGCTCGTGCCGTGGCCCTAGACATCTCCAAAGCATTTGATAGGGTTTGGCATGCCGGCCTTCTTTGTAAGCTCCAGTGTTATGGTATTACTGGTCGACTGTTTGATCTAATACAATCATTCCTGTCAAACCGAAAATTGAAGGTCGTTCTCAACGGATTCTCCTCCAGTTCCTATCCCACGAACGCAGGTGTTACCCAAGGCTCCATCTTTGGCCCCACTCTTTTCCTTATTTTCATCAATGACCTTCCTGACGCCATAGATTCCCAAGTTGGCATCTACGTGGACGACACTACAATTTACTCCTGCCTCAAAAACAAATCTAGTGTCGGCGACAAAACTAACCTTGCCGTGCATCTTGAAATGGACCTCCACTCGGTTGTTAACTGGGGCAAGAATTGGCTGGTCAACTTTAACGCCTCAAAAACTAAACTACTCTCCATTAACCACCATAGAGATCCTTCCCTGCCCCCCATTAAAATGTCTGATAGTCAACTTCCTGAGAGCAACTCCCTGTGTCTGCTCGGTCTCGCATTCACTGCTGACCTGAGATGGAACAAATACATTGAGTCAATTGCTTCTTCAACCGTGAGGAAAGTTGGCTCTCTGTGCCGTGCCAGGAAATTTTTCTCCCCTGAATCGATACTTCAAATATACAAAACAACCATTCGCCCTTGCTTGTATTGCTGCCATATATGGTCTGGGGCACATTCTGCTTACCTTGGAGTTCTTGACAAGATCCAGAGAGGGATATGTAATCTAATTGGCCCTGACCTGGCGTCTCGTCTGCAGTCACTCTCTCACAGACGCGCCATTGCCTCTCTCTGTCTTTTCTACAAATACTTTCATGGTAATTGCTCCAATGAGCTGCTTTCACTGGTTCCCAGACTCCATGAATTCAAGCGCCCTACGAGGCTGGCATCACGCTCCCACCCTTACACTGTAGAAATTTTTAAATGTAGCCGTCTCTTCTACTCCAATAGCTTCATTACCTCGCACATCTCACCTGTGGAACACCCTTCCTAATTACTGTTTCCCTGAAAGCTATAATCTCCTACTATTCAAATGTAATGTCAATCGACACCTCCAGTTACCTTGATCTACCCACTATCCTTCTCCTCATCCTTTCTTCTATCACTCCTATCTGCTCTCGCTCCAAATCTTCCGCAACCCCCTGCATCCTAGGGGCTTCACGCCTTGCTTGGGGCGTAATGCTTAAAAAAAATATAGAGAGAGAGAGATAGGAAAAAGAAGTTGAAGCAGTAACTGGAGTCTTCAAGAATATTTATTTAGAATAACTTTATTGGTTTCACAGTTTTAGGATTTTCAAAAGTTGAATTGAGATGGAGAGACGTGCAGCTATGATTTGATATATCTCATAGCCACATATCTCTCCATCTCAATTTAACTTTTGAAAACTGTGAAACCAGTAAAATTACTTTAAAATAAAATAAATATTCTTAAAGACTAGTTGCATTTTAATCTTCTTTTTTGTATATTTTTACCCATGTGGAATATAAAAAAAAACTGATATATATACTGAGTGTAACATTAAAATTGTCCAAATCATGTAACAGGAAAATTGTCCAATTGTTAGATTAAGCTTTGAACCATTGTATCTTAGAAATGATTAAAGATATCTTACTGGAATTCTCTGAGTTTTTTATAACACTATTGGACTCTGTTGCAGTTATGACCTCCTGATTCCTTTCTACTGTTATTTCTTTTTTAAACTTATTCGCCATTCTCTTGATGGTTCTTGAATAGACTTTGACAATAGAAGCTAGAGTATGAATGTTGGTACCATTACTGAAGGCCTGAATGATTTTTTTCTCTCACCATTGCTCAGTTGTGGAATGAACAATTACCCCATGCTGTTACACGATTTGGGCAATTTTGCTGTTACACTCAGTGTGTTTGTGTGTGTGTGTGTGTGTGTGTGTATATATATATATATATATATACATAAAACTTTGTGGAGTTTAAAGAGCCATATTTGTTTAAAGTATAACAAAGCTTTATATGGGGTAATTGACAAAATTCTCAATAAACAATAAAAAAAGGACAGAGTAAAATAATACTAAGCAAACAATACAAGACAAAAGTCGGTAAAGCAGCAGTAATAAGGCAAAAACATTTAAAAAGAATTGTGTTTAGTTCAACTAAAAAGTAATTTTTCAAAATGAGTAGCTGTTTACTAATAGTGCTCTCAAGTACTGAGTAGAGTACTCACTGTTAACTTGCTTTGCTGCAATATGTACTGTGTGTGTTAAACTCTCCAAACCTTCTTTCCTCATATGTCATATAACTTGTCCCAGAAAATGATTGGTGAAATTAATTACAACTGATTGCTGAGTTTGGTCCTCATTAGGTGTCTCATATAAAATTCAATATTCTATCCTCTATGGTACCTAGACTTCATGAATTTAAGAGCAGTACTAGATTGGCGGTTAGGTCTTATCATCTTACTGTTGAAATGGATATAATTAACCTAAGTTCTATGCTCACAGTTTCTTCTCTTGCATTTCTAGAACTTTCTTCTGGCTTCTTGCTTCCCAGTTGACTTTGATTTTCAAAAATTTAAATGCAATGTCAGTTGTTATCTTCTGTCGTCTTG